CCTCGAAGCCGGTGCTAGGCGCGCTGGTGTCAGTGGCGAACGAGGCGAAGGGATTCGTCGAGTCGACGGTGATTGGTGCCGACGATTGGTGATACGATTGGTCTCCGCCGAAATTCAGAAACGGATTCTCCCCGCCGCCAGATGTCGCTGAAGCGTCGCCGAAATCTTGAAGGAACGGATTGGACGCCTGGCCCGCCATATTGTCGTTCGACTCGATCCCATCGTAATCGTCCATCAAAAATGGGTTCCCTCCTTTCGAATCCATGTTGAATCGAGCGTTATAACCGTGAGTCCAAAGTGAAGATGAAACGGAAGTGTCGTTTAAAGGAAGAGAAAGAAGAGAGAGAAGAAGGTAAAGATTATGTTTGTAGAGCCTCTTATTTTTCCATTAATTCGGACTCGAGTAGTTTGAGCTCGGTCTTGCCCGGCCCCAGACTTGCGAAACTCGTGTCGAACGGATCCACGTCCTCCCCCAAAGGAAAGCTCTCGTTCTGCAAAGGGGTCAACACCTTCGCACCGGGATCTTGGTCGTCGATGCACAAGAAATCCTTCCTCTCCTCCGCTCTGGGATCGAAGTCGGGATCGACTTCTGGAATAACCGTTGTGTTGATCACGGCCGTGAGAGCGATCGGAACGGGGCGAGCGATGGGTATCTCGGCAGGGATCTGTTCCAACTCGGTCTCGAGAATCTTCAGCTCCGCCTTGCCGGGAAGAATATTCGTTGCGATCGAGGTGTCGAATGGATCCTGGTAGGAGATCTCCTCGTCCTCCTCGATGGTCCTCGTCTCGATCCTGGGCGTGAGAGGCTTCGCGTCCACCTCGATCCTCTCGTCCAACAGACTCTCCTGCCTCTTTTCCACCAATTCCCCTCTCTTATTCACCTCCTCAAACTTCCTCAACACCGAATTTTGCAATTCATTTATCCTGAGATCGTTCGGCCTTATCGTGAAATCGCTCTGCCTTCTGACAGGTTCTCCCTCGGCACGCGGATCGAACTCGTGGTCGCTCAAGCTGTGAGGCAGCCTCGTAGACGGCGAATGATCTTGTTGCCTCAACAATTCCGATTCGATCAACTTGAGCTCGGTCTTACCTGGCGCTACCTTGGCCACGAAGCTCGTGTCGAACGGATCTACATCGGCCGCCTCCTCCTCCTGTTCCTCCTCGCCGGGCAGGTAATCCTCGATCGATTTTTGCGTGTAATAGGGAGTGAGCGGCTTAGAAGGCAACGCTTTCTCCTCCTCGGTGGTCGCGAGCAGATCGGGCCGTTTGGACGGTGTCGGCAATTCGAACGC